CCTCTTTGCTAGCCAGCTCTCTGTCTTTATAAACGAGTCCTTTTTTATGCCTTTTTTTTTTCTTTTTTTTTTTTTTATTAGCTCTTTCATGTTATAAAACATAGTCGGAACTTTCAGAGCAGCATCTGAACTGGTCCCTGATGTGCTTCTCCCTTTCATGGCTCAAGTACAACAGCAATTGCAGACATTAACATGCTTCTCTTAGGGTGAAATGTACATTTGAATGGCACCCAGTTGGAGGAACATGCCACACCTCTTGCAGAGCCAGCTGCAGCCTGACCAGAAACCCTGGTGAGGGGGTGATGGGTGCCTGGAGTCAGCCTGCAGCCCCCTGCACACGGGGGAAGGAGGTGGCAGGGAAGCCATGGCCAAGGTGAGGAAGGATCAAGGTGGATGCTGGGGAGGGGGGTGAGACAGGGCCTTTTAATGCCAGCCCTTTGGGGCAGTCACTGCCTTCACACCCACCTCTGAAGCACTTGATGTGTGGCTGCCAGTATATGAATTAGAAAAGTAAGATGTAAGCAGGGATGCATGGGATTTCTTTGTCAGCAGAGCCTTTGGATAGATGAAGATACCCCTCTCCCAGGCATGGGAAGAAGTGTGTTGGGGCCACCCCTGTGTCTCAGGCTTCCTCCAAGTCTTCCCCCTCTCTGTATCTCATCCCTTTACAAACAGCACCTTGGGCTCTGTGTGTCGTGTCAGCCTACTCTTCAATCCCTCTTCATGTATGACTCCCTGACCTAGTGCTAAGAGTTCAGTCTGCAAACCTCTCCCCTCCCAGATAGTTTCCTAGGTAGAAATTGCCATTACAGGTCTTTTCAGGGCCTAGCACTGTGGGACACCAACTGTACCAGGGCTCTGACTTACAATCATCATGACAATCATTATTAATTTGGAGAAAGCTTTGTTGTCTTTGTCAGCCTACTCCAATAATGGGAGTGATGGTGTGCAACCATCAGCCTTTTCTCCTTGTTTCTTGACTGGGATGGGACAATGACTGAGATGTCCCCTGGATCATGGGTCTGTCTGCAGAGGGATGCAGAGAACATGCCTTTTGGTCATGTCCACACTGTGTCCTCCCACTTTGCTGCAGCTGAAGGGCCAGGTGCCACCCCATGGCACTGAAATAAGTCTGTTGTTCCCATCACAGGAGTCTGGAGACCACACCAGGGCCCCAGCCCCCCGAGGTCATTCCCTGGCACCACATCCCCTCTCCTCTCTGTGTGCCTCCTTCATGGACCCAGCCTGGGCTGCAGGGCTGGGAGGGGAAGCCACGGCCCTGGAGCAGGGGTAGTGACCAGCCCAACAGCAGCATGCAGCATCTCTCCTGCACATCTTCCAGCAGGTAAACGTGCTCCTCCTGGTCCCAGCAGTCAGCCCAGTGCCCAGCTCCCTGCTGTCAGACGGTGGCACCCCACAGCCCCAGCGAGAAGGAGAGTCTGCTGTTTGTCTGAAAGGGGAAGGAGCCTGCGCGGGGCATCCGAGCCGTGGTCCAGCCGTGCGAGCAGACCTTGCAGGCTCTGGCCCGCTGTGCTCCGCAGGAAAGCTCCATCCCAGGAGGGCTGGTGGGCAGGGTGGCACTGGCGTGCGGGTGGCAGCTATAGGTGGCCCCCTTTAGAGAGATAAGCGATCAGCGCTACCACCACCCCGACGTACACTCCGGTGCCGATGGTTATGGAGAGCGCGGCGAGGAAGAGAGCTCGGCGGGAGGCTGAACTGGCCAGATGGAAATCTCCTTTGGAGACAGCCTTGCTGGTCTGGAAGGAGAAGAAATGCTCATTGCTTGCCTCTCACCACCTCTGTGCCAGGTACTCATGTTATATACTTTTCCACTTCTGTTTCTGTCCTTGTGATTTAACTTCTTAATGCATCTCCCCGTCTATTCTTGGTAAAACAGCATCTGTGCAAATGTAGCATAAATCCCCTGGCCCTGTATGAATTATTCTGGGTCAACGGAGCACAGGCTCTGGGCTAAGCCCTCAAGAAGGCAGCAGCTCCTCTGAGCTGGTGCAGCCCAAAGTCCACCATACTCTCCAGCCTCTGCCAGCTTGGTGTTGGCTCACACAGCTTACCCAATGTGTCAGAAACAAGGGCAACAGAGGAGCTGTAGTGTGATATGGAGACCAGGCTCCCCTTTGTGTCCAATCTCCAGAGCAGCCTGATTCCTGGGGCACGAGCTGCCTCGGAGTGGGTCATCGTGTAAGACCTCCACACTACTGGAGAATGGGAGAACAAATAGGAAAATGCTGTTTTCCTGAGCCTGACTGGAGAGTGAGCAAGGGGCCAAGGGGAGCTTCAATTCCCTAAATAACACCTGAAAGACCCAAAGGAAAAGCCTGACCTCCAGTAATCCACGCAAGAGCCAGAGGGCTTGCAATCCCATAGCAGTTGTGGAGATATCCTGGGACACCCTTTGCCCCCAGGAGTCTGAGCATAGCAGAGAGATAAGCCTAGGGACAGAAAGGTGCCCAGTCCACTCCAGAGCTGCTGTGGGTTACAGGGCCCTTGCTCTAGTACTCAGTGATTGCAGGCAAGCAAAGGGATCTCTTACCCCTTGGGAGAAGTAGAAAGCAGCAATCCCCAGGGGCCAGAAGCAGCACAGCATGGAGAAAAGGGCCAAGCCCAGGTGGTCCCGGGGGGGAAGCATCAGGAAATTATCCTCACTTTCACTGTCGCTGGAGGAGTCGCTCTGCAAAACCAGATAGATTCAGCACATGCCCATCTCCACATGTCCCCCTGTGTCTCAGCCCCTCTCCTCCCAGCTCCTGCTCTTTCCTGGCCCCATCACATATTCTTATATGTTTCTGTCCAGGTTCCAGATGTGATAGAGTTAATTTTCCTCCTGCTAGCCAGTACAGTGATGTGTTCTGGATTTTGTGTGAGAAAAACATTGATAACACATTGATGTTTTAGTTGTTGCTAAGTAGCACTTATCCTAAGTTAGAGATTTTTCAGTTTCCCATGCTCTGCCAGCAAGCAGGTGCACAAGAAGCTGGGAGGCAGCATGGCATGGCCAGGACAGCTGAGCTGAGCTAGCCAAAGGAATATTCCATATCATAGAAAATCATACTCAGCATAGGAACGGGGGGAGTTGGCTGAGAGGGGCAGATCCATGCTCGGGCATCAGTCAGTGGGTGGTGAGTAGTTGTGTTGTGCATCACTTGCCTTTTCCTGGGTTTTATTTCTCTCTCTTTT